GGAGAGGCAGCAATTTAGCTCTTCCTTGCTGTTCCCAACTTTTGTACTTGTGCTATTTTGGCACTTTTGTTGTAAATAAAAACATCTTTTGCTCAAGTATTGCATGAGACTTTCTGCATTCTTTCGTTAGAACATTTATGCAAGTTTTAACCTTTGCATTCTTTTTTGCTTAAATGTTTTGCGCAAGTTTTCCTGTTTGCGTCTGATTATGCAAGGCCTTGGGTGTATTTTTCCCCCAAAAGCATCCGTATTTTGGGCACAAACTCATCCGGAATAAACCCTTTAACGTGAGTGTTTTTGTAAGTATTTGCGCAAGTTTGTTTTTTGCATCTTTTTGTGAAAGGCTTCCGGTGTATTTTTCCCCGAAGGCATTTTGATTCCGGGCATAAGTTCTTCCGAAATCAACCCTTTAACGTGAGGGATTTCATAAGTGAGGGCCCTCTTATGTTTACGGTGCTCTTGAAGAGGACGTCTCCTGTTCATTGCGACACTAGCATTTGAAGTACTTGTTTAACTTTCAAATGACAAAGTTAATTCATCGTTCAGACAAGAAACAAGATAAAAATAAAAGGACTTCATTTATTCCTTCCATTTTCAAAAGTACATAAGCATTTGTTATGCTAAAAAAGAAATTGCCATTACTTGTGGCTAACTTGTACAACTTATTCCTATGGGATTGGCCGCGTAGTCCCCGGTCTCAATGACACAACTATGTTTCTGATTTTCGTTTCCCAATCGACGTGGCAGTTATTGTTGTTGTATACTCATATCATTCACCCCCCCCCTACTGCCCCAGTGTTCAAATGCGAAGAATGCGAATTAGAACACTGGATGTCTTATACGTTCGAGGATCCCACTAATGAGTTGCTAGATAATCCTTAACTCGATAACATATTTTGTTTCCCCTTAGGAACCTATGCTATCGAGTGAAGGACTATCTAACAACCTTTGTTAGATAGCAAATTTAGATTCCCGGTCGGAATTTTTCTACAGAGCCAAAGATTATCTAACCGTCCCGAAGTGTCTTATTGTTGCTGTTGAAGCTTTCTTCGTAGTATGCTTTTTGTTGCTGCCTCGTTAAAAACCTTTCCAGAAAAATCCAATTGGGAAAAAAATTGGACGAAGGAAAAAAGAGTGCAGCACATACTTTTAGTTCAGGTGATGTTCATCTGCAATAATATCTTTTGAGGTGCGCCACGTTCCAATTGATGGGCAACTTTTCTCCATTTTGACTCTCCAATTCATACGAACCTTTCTCGATGACAGCTGAAATCCGGTAGGGGCCTTCCCATGTTGGACCTAGCTTCCCTTTGTTGAGCTCCCGGGTGTTTTGATTTACTTTCCTTAGGACCAAGTCTCCTACTTTTAAATAACGGAGGTTGGCTTTTCGATTATAATATCATTCCATTCTCTTCTTTTGGGCTGCAATTCTTACATAAGCCAAGTCCCTGCGCTCATCAAGTAGCTCCAAATTGACTAACATTGCTTCATTTTTTGATTCTTCATCTACTTGGAAATATCTCAAGGTGGGTTCCCCTACTTCCACCGGGATTAGTGCTTCTGCCCCGTACATAAGGGAAAAAGGAGTTTCTCCTGTGCTTGATTTGGCCGTTGCTAAGTATGCCCATAAGACTCCGGGTAATTCCTCGAGCTATTTACCTTTAGCCGCTTCCAACCTTTTCTTGAGGTTTTGTATAATCATTTTGTTCGTTGACTCTGCTTGACCATTTGCACTCAGATGGTAGGGTGAAGATGTGATCCTCTTTATTTTCAAATCTTCGAGGAATTTTGTGATTTTTGTGCCGATAAATTGTGGCCCATTATCGCATGCTATCTCTTTTGGTATTCCGAACGTACAAATTATGTTTTCCCACAAGAAATCTACCACTTCGCGCTCGCCGATATTCTGATAAGGATCTGCTTCCAACCACTTAGAAAAATAGTCAATTAAAATCAAAAGAAATCGTACCTTATCGGGAGCTGACGGCAGTGGTCCAACGATGTCCATCCCCCATTTCATGAACGGCCACGGGGATAGAAGTGAATGCAGTGGCTCTGCCAGTTGATGTACCAATGGTGTGTAGCATTGTCACTTATCGCATTTTTGTATGAAGGGATGCCTTCAGATTTATTTGTTTGAATAAAAGAGAATATCTAATTAGATTGTATAGCCCTCAACTTTATCGAGGTGGCCTGATTAAGCTGAAACGTCGATCCCTGAAGCCTTTTTTGCTAGCATCGATAAAGAAAAGGATCGAGGGTGGACGAGCCGCTTTGTCCGAGTCAGGACCTCGGACCTGATCCCTGCTGAGAGAATGCCATTTCCCGAGAAATGGAATATAAATGCGTTCCTTTGATCGAATACCTTTTCCTGACTTTGAATTAACTTTCTTCGATGATACAGTTGTCGAGTGGTACCACGGTGCTGTCAACGATCTTCCAGGCTGGGTCCGACGACTTGATTCGATCTGCCCATACGCCGAGCGCGTGTGGCGTGATCTGGCTAAGACCCGTTGGGAAGCCAAAAATCATGGTGAGTTTTTATCTCTGTTCATGCTCGAGCTCTTTAGAGAAGATATCTTTTGCCGTTATTTCCATACGGGGCCAATAATATCCTGCCCTTACCAGTTTGAGCACCAAGAAATTTGGGCCTGAATGGTTGCCGCGTATCCCTTCGTGGACTTCTCGCTTAACATAGATAGCTTTGGATGCTCCCAAGCATTGGGCCAGCGGGCCTTGGAAAGATTTTCTGTAAAGTTGGCGTCTTTTGAAGCTATACCGTGTTGCATTGGCGCGCAGCGCCCGGGACACCTTGGAGTCTTCGGACAGCTTCCTGTGCTTGAGATAATTGATGATTTCATTCCTCCAATGTCAAACCAAATTAGTCGTATTTACCTCATAATAGCTATCTGTATCCAGGACTGAGTTCATCAGTTGTACTACCGTCCTAGATTCCGATCCTTTTATTTCTGTCGATGAACTGTGGTTAGGCAATGTGTCTGCTTCTGCATTTTCTCACCTCAGGAAATGTGTAATCGACCATTTCCGAAATCAAGCCAACAGAGCCTGGACATTTATCACGTATTGTTGCATGCGCTCCTCTTTGGTTTCGAAGATCTCGTTGACCTGATTTACCACCAGCTGTTAGTCGCATTTGATTTCTATGATCTCGGAATCTAATCCTCGGGCCAGTTTGAGCCCTACAATCAAAGCCTTATACTCTACTTCATTGTTAGCTAAAGGGACCATTCTGATGGTTTGTCTTAGGGTTTCCCCCAATGGCGCGATTAGTACTATACCAAGCCCGGACCCTTTTATGTTGGAAGCTCTGTCTGTAAATAAGGTCCAAACTCTCGATGTCGACTCTGACACCATTACTGCCTCTCTGGTTGCTAGAGACAGCAATCCAGGACTGAAATCGGCCACAAAGTCAGCCAAAACATGTGACTTAATCGCAGTCCTTGGTCTATATTCTATGTCGAACTCACTCATTTCGACAGCCCATTTGGCCAACCTACCCGAGAGTTTGGGTATATAGAGGATGTTCCGCAGAGGAAAAGTGGTCACCACGGCTATCAAATGACATTAGAAGTAGGGCCTCAGCTTTCGAGCGGCGACTATGCGAGCTAAGGCTAGCTTCTCCAAATGTGGGTAGCGAGTTTCCGCTCCCGTTAAAATTTTACTAACATAATAAATGAGAGATTGCGTACCTTCATCCTCACGGACTAAAATTGCACTTACTGTGACTTCCGAGACCACGAGGTAGACTAATAGTGTTTCACCTTCCTTTGGTTTCGAAAGCAATGGAGGGCTTGACAAGTACCTTTTCAAATCTCTCAAAGACTGCTGGTAATCCAGGGTCTATTAGATGTTTTTTTTTATTTTTGAGCAGTGCAAAGAAACGGTGACAATTTTCTTATGACGGGGAAATGAACCTGCTTAAAGCTGCCAATCTCCCTGTGAGCCTTTGAACTTTCTTCACGCCTGACAGTTGGTCCGGGATGTCCTCGATGGCCTTTATCTTATCGGGGTTTACCTCAATCCACCTTTGTGATACTAAAAATCCCAGGAACTTGCTAGAGCTGACCCGAACGATTATTTCTCGGGGTTAAGCTTCATGTTATGCTTCCTTACGATTTCAAAAGTTTCTTGCAGATGCTTAAGGTGATCACAAGCATTCAAAGACTTAACGAGCATATCATCTATATAAACTTCCATAATTTTCCCTATTTATTTTTCAAACATCTTGTTCACGAGCCGCTGATAAGTGGCTCCGACGTTCTTCAACCCAAAGGGCATCACATTATAGCAATATGTGCCGAAATTCATTATGAACGAAGTCTTTTCCTCATCATCTGGGTCCATCTTAATTTGGTTGTACCCAGAATAAGCATCGAGGAAAGTCATTAACTCGTGTGCGGCCGCCGCATAGATCATCTGATCAATGTTTGGTAGTAGGAACGAGTCTTTCGAGAATGCCTTATTCAAGTCCTTATAATCTACACACATGCAAAATTTATTGTTCTTCTTAGGAACTACGACTACATTATCTAGCCAGTCTGGATACTTTACCTCTTGGGTTGAACCGATATCAAGTAAGCAAGTTACCTCTTCTCTGACAAATTTATTCCTGGCTTCCGCAATAGGGAATTTCTTTTGTCTTACCGGAGGTATGTTGGGATCCAAACTTAACTTGTGTACGGCTAACTCCGTCAAGATACCTGTCATATCCGCATGCGACCATGCAAAACAATCGGCATTAGATTTAAGAAATTCAATAAAGCTAGACCTCAGCTCGGGGTGCAGCCCTGCCCCCAAATGGAATTTTCTTTCTAAGAACTTTTCAAACAATTCAACTTGCTCAAGCTCTTCCCTGTGGATTTTGTTGCATTCGTCTCTTCTGGAACCTGGAAATACCTTGGCACCTGATAAGATTCCGACGCTTCTACCCCCGAGCTCACTTCGTCCGATTCTGGAGTGGACGCTGATTCCTGTAGTTGCTATGCCGCGTGTTCTTTCCCTTTGCTGCTGGAGGCCGAAATTGCATTCATCTCCCGTGCCGCCGGTTGGTCACCCCTTATCTGTTTAACTCCTTCGGACGTTGTAAACTTCAGCACTTGATGATATGTTGACGGTACAACTTTCATCTCGTGCAACCATAGTCTTCCCAGAATATTGTTATATCCCATATCACCATCTACCACTTCAAAAAAAGTTGTTTTCATCACTTCTTCGGTGTTCATGGATAACAAAATCTCTCCTCGGGTTGTCACGCTCGCGAGGTTGCATCTGGTGGGGAGTTTTATGGCCGGAATGATGATTCCGTTGAGTTTAGCTTGCTCCAATACTCCCCATTGTATGATATTAGTTGAACTTTCTGGATCCACCAGAACACGTCTAATTTTAAAATCTAGCACATTTAAAGAAATTACTAGTGCGTCATTGTGCGGTAGCAGCAATCCGTCTGAATCCTCCTCCATGAAAGTGATATCGTCTTCGGCGACTTCCTGGAGCCTCATACTATGGGTTATTGATACTTTCATCTTTTGTGCTGCAGAAAAGATGACCCTATTGATCTCGTTCCCCCCCGAAGTTCATGTTGATTGTTTGGCACGGGGGATCTTCCCCTGGTTTCGAGCGTTCCGCATTGTCCCGGTTATGACCATAATTTTTCTTAGCCCGGTCACTCAAGAGTTCTCTGAGATGACCATTCTTGAAAACAGCGTCGCCACTTCCTCCCGGAGATATCTGTAGTCCCCAGTCCGGTGTCTATTCGTCCCGTGGTATTCACACTACAAATTGGGATCCCTCTGGTTGGGATCAAATATCATCGGCTTTAGAAACCGTGCTTCTTTATTATTTCTCATAGCTGATACCAACTCTACTACGCTGACATTGAAATTGTATTCTAATAGCCTGGGGTAGGAAGGATCCCGCGTACCTGCCGCTTCCTTGTCCTGCAACGATCTATTTTTTCTGTTCCGACCGGCCAGACCTTCTATCGGTAGTGAATCTATCTGCTGACCGGAAACTCTGATGCGGCCTTCTATCTATTCGTAGGGAAAAAATCGGCCCCTCAAAAATCATTTTTCCATGTCGAAGTCGTCTTTTCATTTTTCTTTATTCTTCTCTCGCCCCTTTACCGATGACGGGAAATAGACCTGATCATCTTCGATCCTTATATTTGACTCGTATCGGTTGTGTACATCTACCTAAGTAGTTTCTTGGAACTCAAGCAAGCTTTCCTTCAGTTTCAGGGAAGTGTTTGAACTTCTCGGATTCAGTCCCTTGGTAAATGTTTCAGCCGCCCATTCGTCTGGAACAACCGGGAGCAATATCCTCTCCATTTGGAACCGGGTAACGAATTCGCGCAGCAACTCGGATTCTCCTTGTGCAATTCTGAATATGTCGGCCTTTTGGGCCTACACCTTTCTAGCTCCGGCATGAGCCTTAATAAAAGAATCCGCGAGCATCTCAAAGGAGTCTATGGAATGCTCGGGTAATAGTGAATACCATGTCAAGGCTCCCCTCGTGATAGTCTCTCCAAATTTCTTCAGCAAAAAAAGGTTCAATCTCACGAGGAGCTAAATCATTCCCATTTACTATCGTAATAAGTGGTAATATACTCCTGAGGGTCTGAAGTTGAATCATAGTTTGGCACGTCGGGCATTTTAAACTATTTTGCGATTAATTATGGTGTCGCGCACGGTTTGTATGGCAACTGAGTATACTTCTTTGAGTCTGGTCCTTTTAGCACTGGTGGTGCACCCAGGATTTGGTCATGCGGGCGTTTACCTCTCTCATAAACAGTAAAAGTTCATTTTTGAAGGGGTCGTTTTCGCTATTGGGGCCGGATCCACTTCCCCCAGCACCATCGGTATCAATTTCCCCCCTCGGGGTATTGTTATCGACCCTCTACATTGTTTGATTTGCAGGAGCGTCGGGAAGACCTGGATCTCGCCTATTCGCGTTATTGGAAGCCCTAGATAATGCCTGCTTCAACTCCGTCATAACTTATCCTGTCGCGTGAGGTGGCCTAGAATAATCACTTGTTGCTCTTGTAGGACCCTTACCGCATCAGCAACATGTTCCTCTTTAGCATCATCGGGGGTTGCCTCTCGAACATGTCGATGATATCGTCTGTCGTGTACCGGCGTGGCATCGTACCCCTCCTTGTGGGTGTCACTGATTGAATCCTTTAAATGAGGTTGATCTCCTCGAACCTCGAGATTGTGTGTGTTGTTAACACCGTTATCTGCCATTTCTTATGATTTTTTCTAAGACAAAATAATCAAAAACACGTTAGTAAAAGAAGCAAGGATCAACTTAATTACACAGTTGTCTAGGCCCCACGGTGGGCCAAAATTGTTTACCCGTAAAAGGGTATAGTTAAATTTATACGTGGTTTCTAGACAAGTGAATTGATTCGATCCTGAAATAATGAGATAATTGAAGAAATATATAACACTTAGCCTTGATATGAAGACGAAATGACAGAAGTAAAGATTCCAGTAGCGAAGCCTCTGGGCGGTATTAGATGTTTGATTACATCTGAAAAAGCATTTAAGATTACATTATCGTTTGGTTGTTTATTGCTTGCTGCTATTGCTATTACTTCTTTATTATCTTTCCTAGAGCCGAGAGTCTATTGAAAACCGCTCCTCTATCCTCACAAGGTAGAGGTAAGGTCTGCATATACTCTATCCTCTCTAGACCTCACTTGTGTAATTACACTAGGTCTGCGGCAATTAAATTGATTTGATACTTTCATTGTAAATAAAGGAGCTGTGGTTTATATCTAGAGCTAATAGCCTATTCTGTGAAAGCATATGTACATATTTTTGCAACTAGTGCAAAGTATCCTGACCATTGGAAGCTCATTCTGAATTTTATGTAGACTTAAATAAAACCAAAACCAATATGTTAACGGTCCAAAACCAATATGCTTAAAACTGTTTGATCTTGAATCATAGCACAACAGTAATAAGAACAGAAAATAATAAGATAAAATTGTATAGAGCTTTGAACAGATTGTAGTATTAGTTTGCCAGAAAATTTGTGTCCTTACAATGATAACATAGCTCACTATTTATAGCTATGTCTAGGGAACAAGGTCCTAGGATGGTGCCCTTCTTTAATGTCAATTATGAGGGTCATTGATGAAGATGTAACAGTGAGCATAAATGACAAATCCTTTGTAACGGGCAGTGCACTTAATGCCGTGGAATATTCTTCATTAATGCCGCCGGACGGAAGGTATTTATTGCTTCGTTATGAATCTCATTCCCCACGGTGCCAAACGGGATAGTTGCCTTCAAATCCACGTGTCAATCTTTTAAGCGGCCACCTAATACTGCATATTTTACTGTATATATTACTATAGATGTTTAATCGAATCACGGCCTAATATATATATATATATATATATATATATATATATATATATATATATATATATATATATATATATATAAATCCTAAATTCAAGATACTACAAGAAATCTTGAAATTCTAGGAGTCTGTTAGTGTTGCTTAGAGGCTACTCTACCAAAACCCTAGGTCACTCTTATAAAAAGGGTAGCAAAATCCTTTAA